GACATTAAATGATTAAATCTTTGCACTACCAACCAATGCACCACGAGTGCCCCTGTCGGTCATTTTGGCCAGCCAATCACTTGCCCTGCGGTACCCTCCGGTGCCCCGCGGTGGCTTGTGGGTAGGTTACCGTACCGCGGGTTTTTACCGCGCATTTTGAATGGCTGCATCTGTACAACATAAATTCTTCATGGGAAAAAGATTGTCCCTCAGAAGTGACTGGGATTCGAAGCAGGGCATTTTCTGGCGACAGCTCAAATGCTGTACATGAGATTTTAAGCCTCCTGGAGGTTTTACAAGGTACTTCCGGATACTATTAACCTATTTCAATAAACATGCGGTATGTTGTGGTATGAGGCGGTATGTTGCGCAACGTCCACCGCGTTTTAACGAAGTGTACCTTGCTCATTTTGAATGTCTGGATCTGTATATTTTGTAACATGCATATATTTTTTTGTTTTGTATTTCTTCTTTTCAGTATTTTTCTTTATTAATTGCCCACCTATGTTGTGTTGCCAACTCAGCTCTCTTCCGAATGAGGTGCTGTATTTTAGAGTTAAATCAAAATTTACTTTAATCAGTTAATCAAAATGACAGTGACATTAATCCAAAATTTGTGATCAACTTACAAGTATAATGTGATGTATTTATTTTTATGTTCCATATATTTAAGAATTAATGAGTATATGTTAATCCAAGTAATTTTTTTTTATTTTAATTGTTTTAATCCAACCAATTATGGCTACAAGGTGATATGAAATTGGAAGTTCCAATGAACAGATGTTTTCTTTTTTTCAGGAGATGATTCCAAAACATCGTCATGCGAGTGACATTACTGAATCATTTAAGACACTGGTTGCTGAGTGCTACTGTTTGAGCTGTTTGATGGCCCTGAGTAATCCACGACTGGAGGTTGTCTGGGATGACGATATGAAATCCAATAATGTATGCATCTTTCCAGCAGTTTATAGTGCCAAAGTGCTTAGAAGTCCTGCTGAAGTTGCCAAAAGGACCTATTAGCTTATTATATAGCTAATAGCTATAATTCACTATTTGAAATGTAATTGACCAGTTATATTTTAAATTGTCATTACTGATTGTAAAGAATACTTTTAAATCAATGTTTATATTAAGCATTTACGATATCTAAAACCTAAAAGAAATAGTAAAATATGCATATATAGAGTAGTATATACCAATAGAATGTCTTGTAAAAAATCTTATTTCTAAATACACATGGCTGAAATTTATTCAACCTGGCTTAATATAAAAATGATCATAAATGTAATCTTGAAATATTTGTAGTCATTGTGTAGTTTTAATAAATGCCACTTTGTAGATGCTTCCTGAATTCTTGAATGTGCCGCTGTGTATAAAACAATCTGTTGTCAGGGGACTTGTGGAGCTAAAATACTTTCATATTTAAACTCTGTGACAGGTATAAAATGATAAACATTTTAATTTCTAACAGAGCAGTTCAAGCCTAGTGGTGGAATAGTTGTGACTTCACCTGCATGAGGACACAGGAAAAGTTTATATATTTGGAATAACAAATACAACCACAGAAAAGATTATTAAAAGGGCTCTGTTACTCAGGAGGCAGCCTGGTCATATGTGGCTACTAAATTTGCAATTAATACATTTGAATCACATACTGCCAGCCTTTTATGGAGTAGTCTCTCTATCCATATTCCTATTCTTTTGTATACTCAAAAAATAGGAGTTAATACACAAGCCAAGGCAGACTGGGAAATTCCACTATCTGCTCCCACACTCTTCTAAAAAGCTAGAGGAAAGAACAAGCAGAGTGTAAAAAACCCTGAGTAGATTGTTGATGATGGTAATGCAATTTTATTTATGAGCACTTTTCAACACACAGTAAGAGACTCACAAGTCATCTCTTGGATCATCCAGTAGCCCATTAATAGTGTGACCATACCTGTTCATAATATGATCTGTATTTAATTGGAGGGCAGTGTGAATACAAGATACTCTTTTTTATCATTTTATTATTCACCTTGTGTTTCTGAAAATCCTGTCTTCTTTTTTTCTGCAGTAAAATTCATTTATTTTTCAAATGTTTCTTTTCAAATAGGAATAAACAGTTGCTTGTGTTGAATTAGTACTTGTAGTACTTAGAATAAAATCTTGTAGTCCATTTAAGAAACATTGTCAAATCGAATCACATACATTTTTTTCTTTCTGTTATTTTTCGTGGTTTTGCTATTTTGTACTTATTATCATATGATAAAAGTACATTATTAGTATGCCAATAAGATATCACTTATTTCATTTCATTATTAAAGCATACATCAATATGATACAATAATACTTTGTTGTCTGATTTCTCATAAATTTATTTTGCTTCCAAGCAGCGACTGTTATGCTGCTGCTGCTGGTGGTAAGCTGCTTGTTGAAGCCGGAGCGCAATTCTCGGTGCACTGCCAAAGATGTTATTATAGAAGTGGAAAATGGCAAGATCAGGAATTTTAAGGGAGATCTGATGCAGCCAGGTAGAAGAAAGACATAGATCTTTCTATTGAACGTATCTTTCTACTTAAAAATAAGTCAAAATAAAAAGAGGGAAGAGGCTGGCAAGCTGATGCTGTAAAAAGTGATTAAAAAAAGGAAAAAACAAAAAGGCAAAGACAAATATGAAGAAGGGAAAAAAGTTAGATTAAAGGGGACTCTGCTGAAGCATTGGTGAAGCACAGGTGTGAGGCTCCACAGCCTTCTTCAGTTGCTCACACTTAAGATGCCTAATTAGTGTGATTGAGAACTAGATTGGGAGCCTGATTGAAAAAGGGTTAGTTTGATTGAAAGGCTTCCCATGATCACCCAATATTTGCTCAATACCCTTTCATTTTGCACATAACCACTGATTGCACTTGCCCATAAACCATTATTCCTATATAGTGAACTATTTTACTGAATAGTTTGATTGAGTGTGGGATAAAGGAATTACTAATTTTCTTGCATCTGCATTAAGAGACTCTAAAACATGTGTTTGAAGTCATCAGATAGATATAAACTGACATTATTGTGTTACACCATGGCTTGATTATGCAGACTGCCATGGTTTCTGACTGACAGAAAACCAAGCACACGGCCACAGTGATCCTCAGCAGCTGGTGGAGAGAGCTGAGGTGGAGGAGCTCAGGGCC